TTACAAACCATCATTTAAGATTCCAACTCCAAACAAACATGTATTATGAAAGTTCAATGAATATTTTAACAAACTATTGACTAGTTGTTGTGTGTTTAGTATAACAGATTCTTATAGTCAATCTTGTTTTGACAGGTGATTATTCAGATGAACTCAAATCCAAAGAGAATATAAATATGAATAAATAATAAATAAAAGTACTTTTGATTATAATTTATGAAGAATTTGTTGATGAATTAGATAACAATGAAATTAATTGTTATGATAAAAAAGAAACAAGAAAGAGAAAATTGATGATTAAAAGCTAGTGAATGAGATAACACTATTAAAGATATGAGTAAAATAGAACTTAGTATTACTTCAGTTTATTCAGATGAAACAAATATTAATTTCATCAACACCAATAAATTTTTATATTGTAATTAAACTCTTTACTACTTCATTTCACTTTAATCATTCACAAAAACTAGTAGCTATTCACAAACTCTTTTAATAGTTTTATTGATAACTTAACACTTATTGTTAATAAATAAATTGAGCAATTTCTCATACTAATTTTTATAAATCAAACAAATAATCAAAAGGAATTTCTTTTAAATAAAATGAATGTATTATATGTCGTTGTTAGCATATGTTTTATTGTTTTATGGACAGCAATAAAAGGAATCAAATACGAATTACTTATGGTTATGTTTTCATCATCTTGAGAAGTGAGCAACAAAATCAGTTTCTTCAATACGTTTTATTTCATTTAAAATAATGTTTTTTCAAACGTGCTTGACTTAAATGGTTCATTCATTTAAATTGCTGTCTGATTTTTATTTTGAAGTAAATGAGTATTAAAACTCTTCATTCTTCATAATAATATTATAAGAAGAATATACCCATAACACTATGGACCACCTCCTTTACTATCGAACCCTTAAAGAGTCTTTCTTGATAACACACTAGGTATTCAGCCCCAAACTATCTTTGATAAATATACTTCCATCATAATAAATAACCTTATACCATAATAAATAATAACCCTTATAAATTATAATCCGTATTGTAATGCCTCCATAGTAATCAGTCATAATAAATAATAACCAATTTATCTTAGGTGGTGAATTATCTCATCAAAGGCACGTCATAACCAGATGATAACTAGGTAATTCGAAGCTTGGACTATTAGGGTTCTGTGTAGTGTCTCTGATGTGCATTGTTTTATGGATAGCAATATAATAGTTAGTTTCCAAAAAATATGAAAGTACTATAAAATGTTTTCATTTTTGGATATTATATTTTTAATCAATATTAATTGAAAGTACATCAACTTCTTTGTATTGGAAGGTGTATAAGAATTTTACTAAAAATATGGATTGTTCAGGACAAACACATTCTTCTAGACTCGAATTCTATCCTCTAGATGTAGTAAACATGATATTTTATAAATTGATAGAACCAAAGATTCAGTGAGTACAACACTCAACGTCACAAAACTATGTGAATACCTAAACAAGGAAGCCGTTGAAATTTTGAAAATGAAATAAGAAATTTGAAAAGTACTTAAAAAACAAAAATAATATAATGAATAGGGTATTATTAATGGCTAAGAAAGAATGTAAAACAAATAATAAAATGAAGTGATAAAAGGCAATTAATTAAGTGCTAATAGAATTTGAGTCTATTGCTCCTGGCTCAGGGGAGACTAATCACACCCCTTTGTCTTCGTCATGTAATTCCACTACACATATTTGGTTGTGGTAGAAACAGTGTTCCGTGACATCCATCATGTTTTTAATTACATGGTTTTTGACTTCTTTTATGGTGTCAATTTCGATCTTCAATTATTTAATAGTAAAATGAAGTAACAGTATAAAGTAATAAAATAAACATATGAATTATAAAAAGAAGAAATAAAAAGACATTCTAAATAATTAATTATTTACTTCAAAATAAAATGAAATATTAGTTTTAAATGATTAATTCAAATAGTTTATTAATGTTTTAATTTGATTCAAATAATTGACATTATAATATATAAAATCTGATTATAAAAAAATAATAAAGAGAAAGAAAACAAAGTAATAAAACAATAGAATAAGGAATTGATTTATATAAAATAGATTCAGTAGTAAAAGGGTATGAGAAATGTAGGATAAAACGAGAAAGAAAAAGAAGAGAAAGAGTTACATGAAGAAACTTTAAAAAAAAGAGTAGAATTAATAGAATTGAAAAATAAGAAGAAATAGAAAAGTATTTTGTTAATACTGTTTTTGTTTATAGAATCTTTTTTGATAACAATAAATAATAAATAAGAAAGAATATAAAGAAAGTGGACATTTCCATCAATAAGAATTTTTGAAATGCCAAAAATAAGTTATGCCTCAAAGTTTTGTGGAATTCTTTGAAAAAGATATTCTTGAGTCATTCACATGACGAGTGAACCATTAAACACATTTAATATATTCAATGTGAATCCAGACCCTAATGAAATTTTATCAAAGAAGAAATTACATGATACAGAAGGAAAAGTCAATTTAATAAAACTATTCAAATATTCAGATTGGATAGATTTGATTTTATTAATCATTGGGATTATAAGTTCAATAGGAAATGGAATATTGCAACCTGTGATGTTACTTTTAATGGGAGACGTAATCGATAGTTATATCTACACTTCAGAATATAACATAATAATAGATGAAGAAGTTAATCATATGATTGTTGAAGGAGTAAAAGAATCAGTGAATAAAGTAGTTGTGAAGATGGTATATTTTGGAGTAATAAGTATGGTATTAAGTTTTATGAGAACATTTTCATTGTTTGTAGTTTCCCAAAGAGAAGGAATTAGAGTGAGAAAATTATATTTTAAGTCATTATTAAGACAAGATGCAACATGGTATGATTTCCAAGAATCAGGAGAATTAACAACAAGAATAGCAACAGATATTAAAAATTTTCAAGATGGAATTGGTCCAAAATTTGGAATGATTTTTCAAATATTCTCAATGACTATTACAGGTTATATTATTGGATTTATTAAATCATGGGATCTTGCATTAGTTGTGTTGGCAACAGTTCTATTATCATGTTTTTCTTTCACAGGTTTTGAAATGGTTGCAATGAAATATGAAACAAAAGCATTAAGTGTGTTTGGAGTAGCTGGTAGTATTGCAGAAGAAACAATAGGAAATATTAGAACAGTTCAATCATTAAATCAAGAACATAAATTTAGTGAAGAATATGAAGAAAAAATAAAAGAAAATGAACATTTTAATGCAATTAAAGGACAATGTTTTGGAATAGGATTTGGTTTTAGTATATTTTTTATATTTTGTTCATATGCACTTGGAAATTGGTATGGTAGTATTGTAATTAGAGGAAAAGGAGGAAGTAAAGGAGTAATTGCTGGTGATATTTTGGGAGTATTTTTTTCAGTGTTAATTGGATCTCAAACATTAGCTATGGTTGCAACACCACTAAATTTATTATTTTCAGCACAAACATCAGCTTATAAAATATTTACAACAATTGATAGAATACCAGATATTGATTGTCAATCTACAGTTGGTGAATGTCCTAATGAATGTAATGGGAATATTAAATTTGAGGATGTTCAATTTGTTTATCCAACAAGACCATCTCATCAAGTATTAAAAGGACTTAATCTTGAAATTAAGAAAGGAGAAACAATTGCATTAGTTGGAGTATCAGGATGTGGGAAATCAACTACTATTCAATTAATTCAAAGAAATTATGATCCAAATAGTGGAAAAATAACAATAGATGGAAAAGATATAAGAGAATTAAATATTAAATGGTTAAGAAATCAAATAGGAATAGTTGGACAAGAACCAATATTATTTGCAGGAACAATTCGAGAAAATATTATACTTGGAACAAGAGAAGGAGAAACATTAAATGAAGAAGAAATGATTAAATGTGCTAAAATGGCAAATGCACATGATTTCATTTCTAAACTTCCAGATGGATATGATACAATAATTGGAGAAAAAGGAGCATTATTATCAGGAGGACAAAAACAAAGAATTGCTATTGCACGTGCATTAATTAGAAAACCATCTATTCTTCTTCTTGATGAAGCTACATCAGCACTTGATTCAGAAAGTGAAAAAATAGTACAAGAAGCAATTGACAAAGCATCAAAAGGAAGAACAACAATTATTATTGCACATAGATTATCAACTATTCAAAATGCAGATAAAATATGTGTTATTATGAGAGGAAAGATTGTAGAACAAGGAACACATCAAGAATTAATAGAATTGAAAGGATTTATTATACACTTGCTATGCAACAATTTGGAACAATGAATTAATTCAAATAAATATTAATTAATTATTCATTTTAATGATATAAAAGTATTTCTTTATCTTTTAAACATATTGTAAATATAATAATAATTAAATGGTAATAATAATATACTATAAAATCATATAAACATATTGTTTTGAATAATGTTTTATTAGTATATTTTAAAATAAATATGATTATAGAAATTGGAAACAGATAAATATTATAATTTCAAATAAATACACTAAATTAATGAATTTGAATATAAAAAAATATTTACAAGAAATTCAGAAACTATCTAACTCTGTATCACTTGATTTAGAAATAATAGTAAATTGGTAAAAAAGGGAATTAAATTCAAAGAACATAAACATAATATTAAAAAGAAATTAATTAAATTAATTAAGAAAATTAAAAAAATTAAAAAGAAATAACAAAAAACTTAAAAAAAACACAAAATAAAGATAAATGGAGAAGATTAATGATTTGATTAATCTTTCATTATTAGAACAAAATGTAACACAACAGACTGAATTCAAAATGATTAGAATGATTAATTTTATTAAAGAAATAAAAGAAAATCCACCAGATACATATTTAGATTTTTTAACATTAAAAATTAATCTTTATAGTGCAGTGATTTGTTTATTTACTTCAATTATATTATTAATATTAATACCATTATCATATAAAAGAATAAGAATTATTCCATCAATATTCTTAATGTCTTTAGTTTATCTTTCACTTATTCCAATATATGCATTTGAAATGCCTTTAGAATTGGTTGATTTATGTAAAGTAATTACAGTAATTTTAGGAGGATTACAA